AAGAGGTTTACACCCTGGTGGAAGATTCACCAGTTTCCAAGTATGATTTTGCAGTATTGATTCAATTTCACTATTCACAGCCTCTCTCCACAATGGAGCTTCAGGACTTGACATTGCTTCCTTGAAGTTTTAAGGCTTATTTTCTAATAGATATGTTAGAAAATCTGGACCAAATGATTTAGAGAACCTAGCCCTCTTGCTACGTCTAGGTTCATCTGCTTCATTATCATTTTGGTATTCACTACCACCATAGTAGTATCAAAAGTTCTTTTATTTGAACTTGTCTCTTCAGTTTCCTTTCAAGGAAAAATGACGCATTTCTTGACTCAATAATAGTGTTTACATGCATATCCAGATTTTCATATCTATGAACTAAGAATCTGTATGCACTACTATTATTTACATAACCAATGAACACACAATTAACGGTTTTTGGTCCTATCTTAGTCATTTAGGGACTAGGGATTGCCACCTCGGCCAAACACCCCCACACTTTGAGGTAATTGTAGGTAGGTCGTCGACCTTTTCATACTTCATAAGGTGTTTAATTGATTTTCTTGTGAGGTACCCTGTTAAGGATAAAGTTAGCAGACAAAATTGCCTCTCCCCCACAAGTTCTGAGGTAGCCCTAAACTAATCAACATGGCATTCATCGTCTCTTTAAGAGTTCGATTTTTTCTCTCAGCAACTCCATTTGATTGAGGAGAATAGGGTGCAGTGGTTTGGTAAATAATACCATGTTCAAAACAAAATTCCTCAAATGGTGCATCATACTCACCACCTCTGTCACTCCTTACTACCTTAATAATTTTGCCAAATTGATTTTCAACCTCAAGTTTATATTGTTTAAAAGCTTTTAAGGCTTCATCTTTATTTCTCAATAAGTAAACATAGCAATATCGAGTGCAATCATCAATAAAAGTAATAAAATACTTTTTACCTCCTCTAGTTTGAACAAATTTTAAATCACAGATATCTGTGTGAATTAAACTTAGAGGTTCAGTACTTCTTTCTACTTTATTAAATGATGTCTAAGTGAGTTTTGCCTTGACACAAATCTCACATTTATGATTAGGATCAAACTCTAGGTTTGGCAAACATTCTAAGAAATAAGTCTACGCAAAGAATTAAAATTAATATGTTCTAATCTACCATGCCATAAAAAAGAAGACTCTGCAATATAAACAGAAGATGTGTTCTTATTGTTAATAGCCAAATTAGGTACAATAGTTATTACATTGAGCTTAAAAAGCCCATCACTCATATAATCTCACCCCACATTTATTCCACTCTTTTGCCTTGACACAAATCTCACATTTATGATTAGGATCAAACTCTAGGTTTGGCAAACATTCTAAGAAATAAGTCTACGCAAAGAATTAAAATTAATATGTTCTAATCTACCATGCCATAAAAAAGAAGACTCTGCAATATAAACAGAAGATGTGTTCTTATTATTAATAGCCAAATTAGGTACAATAGTTATTACATTGAGCTTAAAAAGCCCATCACTCATGTAATCTCACTCCACATTTATTCCACTCTTGCATAGTACAACCTTGTCAAATTTAAAGACTAATCTAAATCCATTATTGATCAACAATGACCCAGAAATCAAATTTTTTGTGAATCTCTGGTACATGGAGTACATTGTTAAGAGTGAGTTATTTTCCCGAGGTCATTTTCAGCACGATCTTTTCTTGTCCTTCTACAGTTGAAGTGGAGGTGTTTCCCATAAAAGGATGATCCCCACTTTCCACCACTTTGTAGGTTGTGAACATCTTCTTATCTACACAGATATGATAGGTTACTCCAGTATCCACCCACCACTCTTTGGGATTGCCCACCAAATTTGCCTCAGAGACTACTGCAGCAAGATTGATGTCTGCCACTCCATCGGAAAGATAAAAATCCTCTGCTATGTTGGCTTGTGCTAGCTTTTTGCCTCCGTCCTTGCGAACGTGATAATCCTTAGCGCAATGTGCATCTTTGCCGCACACAAAACACTTGCCTCTGAATCTCTTGTTGAACCCGTTGTTGATCCCTTTGTTGATCTTACTTATGGATCCTTGTTTGGGACCATTGCCATCATGCTTCCACGTTTTGTTGTTGAACTTTGACCCTTGTCCATATTCCACAACATTTGCTTTAACCTGCATAACATGGTTTTCTGACTTCTTGTCGGAACCACAGTTATCCTCCTCAATTCTGAGCCGCACTATCAGTTCCTCTAATTTCATCTCCTTACGCTTATGGTTTAGATAATTCTTGAATTCTTTCTAGGATGGTGGCAATTTTTCAATGATTGCTGCTACTTGGAAAAATTCAGTGAGCACCATCCCTTCCGCATGTATGTCATGGAGAATTAATTGGAGATCTTGAACCTAGCTAATAACCGTCTTAGAATCTACCATTTTTAAATCCAGAAAATGGCTGATAACAAATTTCTTTGTATCGGCATCTCTGTCTTATATATAAGATCTAGAGATTCCCACAATTCTTTTGCAGTGCTTCTGACACTATACACATTGTACAATGTATTGTCCAACTCATTGAGGATATAATTCCGACACAGAAAATCACCATGTTTCCATACATCGACTGCGGCAACTGCTTGCCAGTCAGTTTCTCCCTCGTTCAGTGGCGGAGCTTTTTCATGAGTGAAACGAACCAAATTCAATGTCGTAAGATAAAACATCATCTTTTGTTGTCAGCTTTTAAAATCATTTTCATTGAATTTTTTTGGCTTCTCCCCATGATTTACCAGTACTGCTGGAGTCATCACTGGCACAACGGGTGTGGGGGTCGGAGTAATAACAGTCTCAGTACTGTTTGTTTCAGTAATCATATTTCTGTCGAAATAATAATGCACTAATCACAAATTTATACAAAATAGAATTTACACACAATATATAAAATAATATTTTGTAACAAAATTTAAATGATAAACAGTATATAACTACTATGTTATCAAAGAAATTATTAAACAGTATATTACTACTATTTAAAAAATTAAACAGTATATGACTACTATTTAATTTTTCGAAACAAAATTCATTTGTCTAACAGACAAATTTAAAATTAAAAAGAAAACATAAATCTACCTTAAGATTGTTATTCTCACAATGAATGTGTGTATGTGTAAATAAATGTATAAATAAAATAAAGAACAAAATAAAAAATAATTAATTCAGAAAATAATTATATAAATTAAATTCCGAATCAATTGCTTAATGAAATTATAAATCGAGGCTTGTGTTGGACACAATTTCCTTAAAATAGATTTCGCCCTCGCTCCGATGCTTCGAGATTTACCAACGTCTACTTCCTAGGATGCAACGACTAACACTTGATTTGCAGCACTACAAAATCAAGTCTAGCAAACCAAAACTTTGCTGTGACTCTCTCTTTTTCTTCCTAAAAATAAATGCAGAACAGATGCAGAAAACAGGAAGATGAAAAGGGAAGAAGAAAGACGAAAATCTAAGGGCAAAATTGAATTGCTGGATGGCAGACTTTGTATAAGACAATTGGTGGCTTTTCCGAACAGGTAGAAAACCTGTTTGGATATAAACATATCTATTTGGTTTGAATTTCAACTTGTTCGAGTAGAAGAAAAAATCACAACCCAATCTCGCACCTCGCACCTGCGCCCCAGCCCAGCTCATCCCACCCAACCAGATGGACAACGGCGGGCGGTTTTTGTTTTGGGTTCAATGAGTTTAATCCACTTTATCCATAATCTCACCCTTTTACAAACTTGGGTACCCCTTGGGGCCATCCCAAGTATCCCAAACTAGAGTTTATATACCCATACAAATCCTTAAACCTTTTTAATGTGGAATAAGCACATTTCACAAATGTGTCAAAAACCCCACCTAAAACCATTTCCACAAATCCGAAAATGCGTATTGAATTCTCATTCATCCGGAAATGGTCTTGAGCAACCAAAAACACGATGCTATTCACTACGTAACATTAAACACGAACCCAATTAGAAACATTAAAAATAACGCTTAGATCATACCTTAATTAATGCTCAAAGTTAGCATAAAATAAGATTTTTTCAAAGCCATTTTCCAACATATATATATATACTAGTGGGTGGCACACACGATGTGTGTGCAATTTAAATAAGTAGGAATAAAAAAAAATAATAATGAAATTAATATTATAATGTGTACTTAGCTTAAGTGGTATGAGTCCTCGTACTTAAACCCATGGTCATGTGTTCAAGCTTTGCCCATCTCTTTGTTTAACTTTTTTTTTTTAAAAAAAAATACTACCACATAACATGAGGAGAGTAAAGCTTCAAGACACCAAAGTTCCTGTTCACTTTATAATATTATAGATAGATAGATAGATAGATAGATAGATATATATGGATCCTTGAAAATCAAACAAAAGCATATGTCACACCCTTCAGCCTTCAAGCTCAATCAACGAAAAAGGTTCTGGTTTATCACAATGGGCTTCATCAATAGTCTTTCATTGCAATCATCTATACTGCAATTCATTTCTTTTGGTAAAGTATAAATGTTCACCTATGAATCAGAAAAATCCTCAAGGTCTTCACACTGTTGTGAATTGTATGAGGAATGCATAAATATAAGCGAATAGTTTCCCTAGAACAGAAGGAGAGTCAAAACATTGGACTAGATCGGCATTAATCACTTGGTTACAAATTTCGCATTACTTGTATTGTTTGAAAGCATAATTTGAAATGCTTTTCTTTTTGCTCTTAATAAAAGCAAGAAAACGGTATCATAAATTCATTATTACTAATAATCTGAAGAATTCACATATTAAATAAATTTCCATATCTAAAGACTCACAACAGAGCATAAAATCAACAAACGCGAAGATCAATTAACCAAAAGCATCCAAATTAAGAAAAACTCCGGCACATGACGATTTCATCTATTATTTTCCTTCAACTTTCTGAGGAACCAAACAAAACAACAGATAGATGTGAATTTGAGTGGGATTGAGAGTGAGACCTGATTGGAGCGTTGAATAGCCCGAGCTTCAAAACGCTTAGAGAGATTAGCAGTAAATCGAAACCTCCGCTTAGGGTTCTTAACAATCCAACAAAGCTTCCTCCATCTCTGAAGCGCCTCCTCGGACGAGTTCTTCGGCTTCACCTCCCCAAAATTCTCTTTCAAATAGTTCTCCATCTCCTCAACACCAAATCCCAAATCTCTATCACTTATACAATTTACACAGAGAAAAAGGCTAAAAAACAAAAGTTGTTATTGAGTTACAGTGAAACAGTATGATTTTGTGATTCTTGTGAAAAATAGAGAGATGGAGAATCACATTCCAAAGCACGGTGATCTGATTGTTCCTTTTCTTTATTCTTGGGTGTACCTAATCTTTAGAAAAAGCAAGGAATGAAGACTGCTATTGACTTCAGTTTACAGAGAGCATCTCTTCTTGTCTTCTTCTCTCTCTACAGTGATGGGGCAGCTAGAGGAGAGAGAGAGAGGACAGAGGCGGGAGGGAAGGAGGACAATTTAGGGTGATTGGAGATTTGTAAACCAATTGCTGAGACTCTGTTTTCTCTGTGTGTCTGATAGTCCGATCTTTTCGTACAAGAAAATGTTGTGGGGGTCAAACCCGGTAATCCAATATCACTTTCTTTTAGAAGATAGTTAGAAGTTGATTTCTAAGTTTTTTTAAATTTTTTTTTTTTTAAAAATATGTAAAAAATATGAAAGATACCTAATTTAAAATAGATTATAAAAGTTGAAAAGTAATTTTTAATTTATTTTTCAAAAGACGTCAATACCATGCGCCACTGATCATGTCGTGGGAGTTGTATTAAGGTCCAGCTCGTTTTCGGGTTAAAGATTAAGGAGATATAGAATAGAAGAGATTGATAGTGAGAGAATTAAGTAAAAGTGTATTTGTTTTAATGATAATTGTTTGTGCGGAAATTATTAAGTTATTTTTAAGAAAAATTGATCTAGGGTTCCTCCCCCACTTTTCGTAATGGAAGAGATTCACGATATTATTTTTTGATGTCTAAGGTCCCTCCCATCTATCACAGAAAAATTCAGCCCCCTTCCTTTTCTCTACTCTCACTCATTACCATGATCAAACACGCACACACACAGAGTTCACTGTTCGTGATCGGAAACGCAATCATCATCACTCTGTTTCTGAAATACAGATCGATCATGGAGAGCTGAGATGATCATCGGAACCCAGCATGCCTTTCCTTCTTCAATGGCGCACTCTAGCAACCTCCCCTGTGATGAAGACGGCATTTGCATGATCTGCAAGAAGAAGTTGGCAGAGGACGAGACCATCACCGAGAGAGTGAGGGAGCTTGTGTGTTGCTGTGTGTGCATCTCTTCTTCTTCTTCTTCTTCTTCTTCTTCTTTTTTTTTTTTTTTTTTTTTTTTTTTTTTTTTACACCAACAACCACCAGCACAATCTTGAACCCCGAAAGATGTGAAGAAGAGAGAAGATGCGAACTCTAATGCTGCTTCGTTTTCTTCTTGCTTGGCTCACTCTCGTTTCATCTAGCTCTTGCTCTAGTAATTAAATTCTCGGCTTTATGCATTGTTTGGTTGTTAGAGTCAAAGGTATATATTATGGAAGGCAACATCTCTGGGTTTAACTCTCTGGGTTGATCCAGAGAATTTCTCTGGTTTCAAGCATGGATCTTTTGGCATGTTTAACATTAAAAAAATTTTCCTTAGGTTCCACACATCCAGTAACATTAACGAAATCTTTTGGTAGAATTGAAGAATTTGTAATTCATAATCATATAACCAGGATGCTGCTAGTGGAGGATCAAACCCATGGCAGAGAAATTTGAATTTTCTCTGGAGTCCATGAAAGGCTAAGGAAATTTCTCTGGCAGTGTCCATGAAAGGCTAAGGAGGTCAGAGAAATTCAAAATTTCTCTGTACCAATTTTCTCTGACTTGAATTTTCTCTGGATTGTTGTTGAGGGACCTTAGACATCATAAAAATATTTGATGTCCTTTATACTATAAAATCATAATATCAGGGACCTTAAAAAAAATACCCCTTATTTTTATATAATTGAAATATAAAATAATAAAATAAATAAAGTTATGATTGTTACTTAATAAAAAATATAAAAATATTGAACATTAATGTTCAAAAAAAATGTCCAACATGTAAGATAAAATAAATAAATAAAGCTAAGTTGGAGGACTAATTTTCTAATACTAAGTCTTTGGCCTCCATCTCAATCCCAACATCAAAGGTCTATCCTAATCCGGAGGGTTATGAATCCTCTCTCCATCTCTCAAAATAAACACAATATTAGTGGGTCTCACCTCCATCTCAATCTCATTCCTTCCTCCATCTCCCAAAATAAACGGACCCTTTGGTATGGGTTGTTGGCTTTTTGGCTAATTTAGTAACTTTTTGGCTAATTGGCTAAAATAGCCTCTTGCCAAACGAGGCCTAAGTCTTTGGCCTCCATCTCAATCCCAACATCAAAGGTCTATCCTAATCCGGAGGGTTATGAATCCTTTCTCCATCTCTCAAAATAAACACAATATTAGTGGGTCTCACCTCCATCTCAATCTCATTCCTTCCTCCATCTCCCAAAATAAACGGACCCTAAGACTTTACCTAACATTTCACATCGTGGGTTCATTTTTAGGTCGCATTTTAATAATTTAAACCATTCACATTTTAGGATTCATCAAGTATATCATTCATGCAAAAAATCAAATCGATCGAATAACAATAATTACGTGTTCAAATCAGTTTTGTATTAAAAATATATATATACTGTGAAAAATAAGCGGTTCATATAAAGCTAAAGCTGATTTAAACGTATGGTTATCGTTATCTAATTGATTTGATTTTTTGCATAGATAATATACTCGGCGAATTTTATAATGTGAACAGTTTGAATTATCAAAACGAGATTCGAAAATAAGCCTACAGTGTGGATTATTCTAATCTTGATCTCCAACGGAAGACAAGCTAGACCTTTGTATTAAGCATGTGTTGAGCAAATACACCTCTCGCATCTAGGGTTCACAACTTAGCGGATTATACAAAGTGTGCAACTTGGGCGGACTAGTAACTCGAGTTCAGTGAAATATTTTAGAGTTTGGATAAAATATTTTTTTAAATTCGGTATGCATTTAGACAAAAATATGAAAGTTTGAATTAAATTTTAACAAGTTTGGATAAAAATATCAAATACTATGAGCAAACTCAAAACTCAAATTATATATATATAAATATAGAAATGTTGAATATACATATAAATTATTAGCTATTAGATGACATTAACGTAATTTAGATCAATAGATCATATTGAATATATATTATATACACAAATAACACAATACAAAATTTTACTTATTTTTTTTCACTCATAAATTATAAAGACCATCATAACGGCATCACTCTTACATTGTATAAGCTATTTGTTTTGATGCTATTAATTATTTTATATAAAAAAAATTGTAAATATCTAATTTTAACAAATTAATTAACTTAATTGCATTAAAAAAATTAAAAATTATGTGCAATTCAGGCAACTCGGCCAATTCGAGTTTAACTCAGGTCAGTCTTGGACAAACAATCTCAGGTTACAATTCGAACTTGGGTGGACCTGGACAGCTCTTAGCACAACTTGGGGTTGAGCTTGAACAACTTTCAACTCGCCCGAATTGCACCCCTAAATTACATTACTCTACTGTCGCATCATAGAATATAAATTGGTTAGGTGGACCGAAAAAATAAATTTTAATTTTGTAATTTAAAAAAAATTAAAAATAAAATTAATGCTTAATATTTGATATTTGAATTTAATTTATTTTTTATTCTATCATAAAATTAAGAGTTAATTACTTAAAAGTCCTATTTACAAATATTATGGTAGCTTAGGTTCTATTTAAGACTTTTTTAAACCAATACGCCATATTTAGTAAAAATGAGAATATTATCAGTTTTTTCAATTTTTAAAACTAAGAATATTATCAATTTTGCATAGTAATGTTCCAGATAATTGTTTCCCTAATTGATAAAAAAAAACAGAGAATGAGATTAAATGTTTTTGCCATTCGTCTTATTGGTTTGATTCAACTATCTAATAAAATCGAAAACATTATCAAATTTTTTTTTTCAGTTTTAAAACTGAGAACATATCATTTTTTTCAGTTTTAAAACTGAGAATATTATCAGTTTTTTCATTTTTACAGTTTTTTTTTTTTTAAAGTTTTGTACATCAATGTTCCATCATCATCCTCCTTCAAACACAAAATTTTCAATTTTTCACATAATTTAGTTTTTTCAAAATTTTCAAAAAAAAAAAAAAAACGCTTGTTTGGTTTTGGTTTCAGAAAACACTTTTCAGAAAATTCTACTTTTTTATTTTCCCTTTTATTTTTTTTTGTTTTCAATGAATTTTTTTAATATTTTAAGGTTTTTTTTTTAATTTTTAGACACACTCAACATAAATACACTTAAAAAGTATAATATTTGTGAAAAAAATCTTTACAAAATTCACTAAATACCAAAAATATATATAAAAAAAAAAGAAAATTCAGTACATTTTTTGTATTTATTAATTTTTAGTAATATTTTTCACAAATATTTTACTAGATAGATACATCTAAGTAATGTGCATTTAAAAAAGTAAAAAAAATTGCTTAAAAATTTTAAAATATTAACTAAAAACAAAAAAATGAGAGAAACAAAAAACTCAATTTTCATAAAGTTGAATTCAGAAAACTGAAACCAAATATATATAAAAAAAAAAAAGAAAATTCAATACATTTTTCGTATTTATTAATTTTTAGTAATATTTTTCACAAATATTTTACTAGATAGATACATCTAAGTAATGTGCATTTAAAAAAGTAAAAAAAATTGCTTAAAAATTTTAAAATATTCACTAAAAACAAAAAAATGCGAGAAACAAAAAACTCAATTTTCATAAAGTTGAATTCAGAAAACTGAAACCAAACACACTGATTAGTTTTTTTATTATTATTATTTTTGCACATAATTTTTTTTTTTGTTTGTTTTTTCAATTTGAAAGTTGATGTTATAAAGTTTTAAAAATCAAAATAAATATTATATCATCATATTCCTTTATAGATAATTATAAATGATGAACAATCATTGTTTGAATGGCAATTCCAACCATTAAGATTTTAATGGGACTTGACAGTCTAAAAAATCTTAATTAGAACTTAATGGAGTATAAGTTCATAAATTAGGATTTGTATGTAAATACTCATAAAATTAATGATAACCTTTTCATTTGTTAGAGTGTCTCCAACGGTCTAGTTAGAGCAACATCGTCTATATATTTCATTTTAGCTATTTAAAGTACCAACAATGATAGGTGGCCTGAAAATTCATGGCTCAAATGGCTCGAAACACCCAAAACGACGTTGTTTTGAATGTAAAACGGCGTCGTTTTAACACATTCGAACCATTCAAACCACACAAATTCAGGTCACCAAACATTTTTCTTAAAGTACATTATTTGATTTACCTGACTTTTTTTTTTTTATCGAACATGTATTGATTTTAAAAATATTTTCATAGTTTTAAGAGTCTCTTAGGCTCTTCAAATGCAAATAACTT